AGGTTTACCTTGAGTCTCCACAACAAAAATCCACACAACTAGCTAACGATCGAGTGACTTCAAAATACTTGTATCTACACAAAAATTGTGCAGAAGCATAGTATAAGTACACCACAGCAGTAACCAGTAAGTATCAAGACTAACCTCAGTGGATTAGTGACGAGGAATAGTCAAGACACCTATTGAACTAGATAACCTAGAGAAGTATAAGTGTAGAACCAACAGAGTACAATATCTATATAAAGACTACATGTAATGACAACAATAACATGGTAATTGCAGAAAGAAAAGGAAAGAAAAAATTAGCAGCGAAACACCACAAATAATGACATAGTAGAGTAAGCGGAACACAATTTAAATCCGGTGAACACAAATAAAGGAAAGGCAAGTAGCAACTCAACAAAAACGACTGCTTTCACACCATGTTTTAGCCAATAATCTCCACGAGGTACTGAACCTCAGAATATTTACAATTCACGGGTCTCAATTCCTAAACCTGAAACACTTGGCATCATGTGCCCTCATTACAAATTTATAACCGCATCGATGACTGACGTGCCAATAGAGCCATTCTTACATAGAAGTCAAGTAGATAAGGGTATGTAGAAATAATCAATAATATCAGGATCAACCTTCACAAACCGTTAGGGGTGATTAACTATGTGTATGTTTGTGTCAGTGTTCTATCACAGTTCAGGCCAAATAACAAGAATAGAAACAATGGATGACACATAAGAAATGATCATAATAACACGCACATGGTAAGTAAGCCACTACACACATATCAACAACCACAATGCCCCCATGCCATCACAAGTCATCACAAACAATCCCCTATATAGCTCACTTTGTCTCACCACATGCGTAATAATAAAGTAAATATCCGCTTTATCTCGCCACACACGCATAATAACGTTCCTACCTTGTCTCACCACATGCGCAAACACACAGATATAGCCCACCTTGTCACACCGCATGTGCATAATCAACAGTAACAATATCACGGAAGAAACCTCGTGCAAACACCCGAACCAAATATCCCAACAACATCACGTGCCAACAATACAAAAACACAATAGAATGGACTTCACAATATGTGCCCATATTCCACAACATTTTCACTAAACAATCTCAATACCACAACCGCGCATATCCCTCGGCTCAACAAACTGAGTACCACAACAACAACTACAACAATATACGAGAATACGACAAGTAAATCAACTCTAAAGCTTTAGAATGTGAAGAAATGGTAGAACGAGATCACAAAGAATAAACATAATAGAGAATACTAGTCACAATAAGAATATCTCAACAAGGGAGAATTAATATGCAACAATAACTTCACAAAAGCACAATTCGACAACAAGGGAGGTAACGTGAGTCATTAATTCCAAATAAGGATGAGGCACTATGACAAAGGATAACTAACTTCATTTATGTTGGAGCAAATTACGGAAACAATACAACAACTTAATTAAGATTAAGCAACATAAAAGATAGCATGGTAATTGAAGAGGCAACAATATCAATTAAGGCACATAAGAGTCAAATAAGGAATAAGAGTGGAACATGAAGTAATTAATTCCAATTAGGACACATAGGGGTGAAATTAGTAAACAGGGGATTTAATGTAACAAATAACTTCATATCTAATAAACATAAGAGCTTAAGAACCCTAAAAGGTCAATGTTCCACAAATAAGCCCGTGCACATACTCGTCACCTTGCGTACACGGACTTACATGATACAATTAGCATAGAAGACTCAAATCCTTGGAGGTAGTTCCCCTACACGAAGTTAGGCAAGATACTTACCTAAAAAAAGATAGAACATCACTCAAAAATGAACCTCTCTAGTGAAATAACCTCCGAACAGTTCAAATCTAGCCAAAATAACTTCAAAGCACAAATAAAACTCATAAGAAACTATTCCAGATAATAAAGCCTCAATTTTTATCAAAAAATAAAAATCAACCAAAAGTCGACCTCTGGGCTCGCACCTCGGAACCCAAAAAATTTCACAAAACCCAAACACACATTCCGATATGAGTTCAACCTTGCCAAAATTATCAAATTCCGATACCAATTCATCCCTCGAATCATCATTTTACATTTTGAAAGTTTTCTTCAAAATCCCAATTTTTCCTCAACTCAAAACACTAATTTAATGATAAAAATAAAGATAGAATCATGTAAAATAATAAATTCTAAGTGAATAACACTTATTCAATTGATTTTCTTGAAACCCCCATAAAGAAATGCTCAAAACCGAGCTCTAGAACTCCAAAAATGTTTAAAATGGCTAACCCTTGGAATAGAGTACCATATATTCTGCCTAGTGATTAATGCATCACGGTCGTGAAGAGAAAATGACCACTGCCAAAATTAGTGCTACGTGATCACGTACAGAAGGGTGCGATCGCGAAGAGGAAAAGCTTTTGATGCCCAAGGACTGCACTACACGACCGCGAAAGGGAGAGTGCGATCGCGAAAGGGGACCAGCTGGGGGCTGTGCTATGTGAACGCGTACAGCTAAACGCGAACACGTTGAAAGGAAATACAAAATTACGCGATCGCGGATGGAGGCACGCAAACGAGAAGAACAAATGTTCCTTCCTTCAAAATTACACTACGCAAACGTGGAGGAATTGACGTGAACACGATTAAGGAAACCATGAACCAGCAAAAAACAGTCCAAAAATAGAAGGAAATGGACCGTAGCCCGTCCTAAACACACCCGAGGCCCTTGGGACCTCAATCAAATATACAACACATCCTAAAACATAATACAAACTTAGTCTAGGCCTCAAATTGCATCAAACAACGTCGAAACTATGAATCACATCATGAATCGAACTCATGAACTTTCAAATCTTCCAAATTTTAAAACTCGCACCGAAACCTATCAAATTAATCCGGAATGATGTAAAATTTTGCAAGCAAGTCCCAAATAACATAGGGAGCTGTCCAACTCTCAAAATTGCATTTTGACCCTAATATCACCAAAGTCAACTCTTGGTCAAACCTCTCAACCTACCAAAACTTTAACTTTTTCAACTTTCGCCTAAATGCTTCAAATTACCCTACGAATCTCCAATTCCAAATCCGGACACACGCCTAAGTCCAAAATCACCATACAAAGTTGTTGAAACCATCCAAACCCTATTCTGGAGTCGTTTACGCAAAAGTCAAATTTCGGTTAACTCTTACTGCTTAAGCTTCTAAAATAACAATTCTTCTTCCACATTGACTCTGTATCATCCAATGACTGAACTCGTTCATGAATGCAAGTCATAACACGATATACATAGCTGCTCAAGACCTTTTGCCACCGACCGGGGCTTTAATTCTCAAAATGACCGGTCGGGTCGTTACACCTTGACTCTCCTCCCTTATCTTTCATTTTATGTTTCAGTTTTATTCTCTAGACGGTGTATTAGACTATATCTCTATGTAGATGCTCATGTACTCGATGACGCCCAAGTTTTGAGAGTGATTTTTTATTGAGTTATGATTTCTTATTTTGTTTTTAAAAGGTTTTCTTTAAATTTAACTTCTTCTGTATCTTTCAAAGCTTTAAAGTGTTGGAAATGTCTGTGTAGTTGGCTTGCCTAGTTCTATGATAGGCGCCATCATAATGGGTTAATTTTGGGTCGTGACACTCTTAATGTTAAGAACTAGTGTAGAAGAAATTGTGGCTTACTGTGATTCAGGCTGGGCCTCATGCCCCATGTCTAGGAAATCAGCTACTGGTTTCTATATCAAGCTGGGAGCATAACTTATCTCCTAGAAAGCAAAGAAGTAGAGTACTATATCTAGAAGTTCAGCAGAAGCTGAATATAGAAGTATGACACATACAGTAGCAGAATTGATATGGTTGAAAAGACAATTTAAGAAGTTGTAGGTAAATGTGAAGATGCCTATGGATTTATACTGTGATAACAAGATATCCTTACAAATAACAGCTAATCATATGTACTATGAGAGAACAAAATATATAGAGATTGATTACCACTTTATAAGGGAGAAAATACAAGAAAGTTTGATCAGAATTACATATATACCCAGTCAAGAGCAGCCTACAGACATCTTGACAAAGGCTTTAGGCCATCAACAACATTCAGCATTACTTTCCAAGTTGGGAATGAAAAACATTTCTCATTTTCAACTTGAGGGGGAGTGTAAAAATAAATAGTTGTACAATTAGCTATTTATATTGTACTCGTCTAGAAGGATAATTAGTTAGAGGATAGTTGCTTAGCCATCATAATGTTAGTTAGTGGAGATATTATATTGTAATAGATATATAAGTGTGTACAATATACTTTTCGGTTAATGAGACAGAGAAATTCAGTTCCACTCTTTCTCCAGAACCTTACTCTTATTTTCTTCTTTGTTCTCTCTTCTTCCCCAAATCTGTGACTCCATTAATGGCAGATCTAGAGCTTGTTCTTAACATAAATTTGAAATTAATTAGAGGACCACTCTAGTCTAAAAATGCTTTTCTGGTCCATCGCCCTAATGTCTGGTTCATCGTATTGGAATATCTATACTCGTCTACGCTTTTAAGGAAAATCAAACATGATATTAGAAATATAGATTTTGTAAGATTATATAGCTTAGAATATCTCTATGATAGATTAAAGAAAAGTACTAATTGGTCACGATTTTGAAAAATGAACCACAAGAATTTGCTGTAAGTATAGACGAAAAGTATGTTTGTTATAATGTGTTCTTTTGTTCTTTTGCAGATTAGTGCTTGCAAGTTAAAAAAAAAACCATTTTTCGTGGTTTGGGCTCAATTCTAAGATTGTTTATGGCACGTAAAGATGCTCTTTTTGTGCTGAAATATCCACCACCTAACAATTTGTCCCCAAGAGCCATAATCTATAGCTTCCATGTGCTAGCAAAGACTCCAAATCTCATATTAAACTCCTTTTTTCCATCTGTCCCTTTTTTTTTATTTTTGAACATGAAAGGTACTTATATTAAACATAACTAGGGATCATGCCCGTTAACATTGTCATTAATACATATGCCATCATAGGCTAATATTATGCCTTGTAAGGCATTGTCATTACCTAAAGCAATTATATGACCACATTGGTCCCTAGAACAACTTCTAACATATATATATCCATCCTGATCTTTGTCATAGACATCTATAACAAATTCAGGTGGTAAAACATAGATACATAATTTATTGTAGCTACGTTGCACTAGTGCTGCTTTCGCCAAAAGATGAGCCATCATATTCCCTTCACGGAAGCTATGCTTCAATGTGATTGTGCCCTGCCTCGATGCCTCTTCCATTAACCGTCTGCATTCATAAATTAAGTTATTGTAAGTTGGGTAATCATCCTGAAGAAAACGTATGACCTCTGTGGCATCAGTTTCTACTTCAATTGGGAATATGTGTTCCCTGATAATTAGTTGAAGTGCATGCCGAAATGCTTGAAGTTCTGTTTTTATTGGTGATGTTGCTTGAATTTTCTTGTGGTATCCTATCCGCCATTGTCCCTTGTAATCACAAATGACTCCGCTTATACCTCCTTCCAGATAGTTGCTTTTGAAGGTACCATCAATATTAACCTTAAACCAACCTCTTGGTGGTGGCTGCCATTTTACATTAATCCTTATGATTTTGTTGTAAATATCGACCCTGGATATGAGAAAAGTGTATTCCAGTGTTTGATCAAAAACTTTTTTTACATTAATGTGAGAGTTGGTATTGTTGTGGTTGTTAAGGTTTCTGTTGTTTCAAATGACCCAAAGAGCAAATGGTAGTGTATCTTTCCAAGTTATGTAATTTTATATTTTAATAGGGGTTGCATCTCGTAATAATTCATACCAATTATTGGTCTACCCGTGATTGTTAATTGACACTCCTATGGATTGCCAGAAGGCTTGAGCTATTGTGCATTCCCAGAAAATGTGGTATATCGATTCAGTGTTGTCCTTGCATATTGGGCAGTTTGGGTTTATATTGACACCAATTTTAGCTAGGTAGCCTCTTGTAGGAAGTCTTTTGTGGTAGAATTTTCATATGAAAAATTTGAACTTGTTAGGACATTTGATGTCCCAAATCCATTTAAAAGAAAGGTTATGGGGTGTTTGCTCAACAATTAGGTTATAGCAAGAGGCTGTTGAGAATATACCGCTAGGGTTAAGACTCTAAATGAGATTGTTAGGGTCATTGACTTGGTATTTGGGATTTAATGCATTAATACTGTTTGTAATAATTTGAGGGAGATCAAAAGAGATTTTTCCTAAATTCCAACCCTTATTATCCCAAATATCTTTAATAGTTAATCTTTCTTCATTTTGAGTTAATGGTCTTGAAATATTATTACACAGACTTAGAATATTCGGGATCCAGTTTGAGTCCCAGACGTTCATATGTGAATGTCTATCTACTGGCTATCTAATGCCCCTATTACAAACAGTCTAACCCTTGAAGAGACTTTTCCAAGTATTTGAAGTGCCATTTGTTCTCTTACTCTTCCCGTAGGTGCTAATAAGAGTTTGAGCCCACAGGGAGGTTGGATTAGTAAGTATCCTCCATGCCAAGCTTGTTAAGATGGCCATGTGTTTAGATTTTGCTTTCTTAATACCCAATCCACCATTAATCTTTGTATTGGTAACCATATTCCATCTAATAAGGTGAATTTTTTTCTTTTCCCTCGTAGTCCCCCAAATGAAATCTCTTTGGATTTTGTCTATTTCTTTTAGGGTTTTGGTGGGAAGTAGACTTATTTGCATTAGGTGATTTGGCAGTGTATTTAAAGTAGTAGTTATTAGTGTGCACCTGCCCGCCATACTTAACCACCTAGCATTCCAATTGTTTAATTTAGCACACATTTTATCAAGTAAGGGTTGATAATCCTTGTGCCTAGGGTAGTTGTTTAGCATTGGAAACCCTATATACGTACCAAAGGTTTTGCTAATGATAATCTCAAATATTTTAGTAGCCAGGTCTCGCGTGTGTTGATTACAGCTCTTCAACCTGATCAATTTTGATTTTTCTTTGTTGATATTAAACCCGAATACGTAAGTAAAATTCTCCATACTTCTGCAAATTGTATTAATTATTTTCCTATTGCCTTCACCCATAAGGTTAGGTCATCAGCAAAAAACAAATGAGATAAGGGGGAGGGGCTAGGATTGAGCTTTATAGGCACCCAATTCCTTGTATCTACTTGGTGGTTAATATTCTTAGAAAGCATATCCATACAAAGTATGAATATGTAAGGTGACATGGGGTCCCCTTGTCTAATACCTCTTGTGGGAGTGAATTACTTAGTTTTGTTACCATTGACCAAGATAGAAATAGTACTCGTGGTAATACATCTAAGGATAAGGGCAGAAATTTTTCTAGGAAATTTAAAAAATTTAAGCGTCCGATAGATGTAAGACCATTCCAATTTATCGAAAGCTTTTTCCAAATCAAGCTTTAGTAAAAAGTTTTCCTTCCCTTTGGCTAAATTAACCTTCTTTAAAAATTCTTGAATAATGATAGCATTATCACTAGCTCTTCTACCCTTTAGGAAGCTAGTTTGTTGTATATTGATCAGTTGGTTAAGAAAGGGTTTGATTCTATTGGCAATTACTTTAGTAACCTCCTTATAAATCATGTTATAAAGACTTATCGGCCTAAACTTCTTCAAGCTATTAGCATTATTAATTTTAGGAATTAGGCAGAGATAGGTTTTGTTAACCTCATGTGGCATTACTGATGTTGAATTTTTTTTTTGGCATAGATTGATGACCTTACTTCCTAGAATGTGCCAAATTTTTTGAAAAAAGAAAAGGTATAACCCATCGGGGCCTAGTGCCTTGTAGGGTTTAAGAGAAAACACAACTTTTCTAATTTCTTGGTTTGTTAATGGCTTATCTAGGTTAGAGAGGTCAATATGTGAGAAGTTGGCAACATCAATTTTAATATATCGCCAGTCAGACCTATCGTGAGAGGTTGTAAAAATATTGGAGAAGTAGTGTGTAACATGGCTAATTAGGGAGGATTGGTCCTCAATCCAACTCCTTGAGTTGTCTTTAAAAAACACAATATTATTTCTTCTCCTTCTATGGGTGGCTTTTATGTGAAAAAACTTGGTATTTGCATTACCTTCATTTAACCAATTAACTCTAGAACGAAGCTTCCAGTACTCTTCTTCTAGTTTAAGAATTGTATTATACTCCTCAATCAAATTAGTTTCCTAGTCTTTAAGGAAGTAGCTTGTTGGGTAATTAGAAGATTTTTGAATCCCATCAATTCTGCCTAGAATTTTCCTTTTCTTAGCAAAAATATTACCATAGGTTATTTTTTTCCAATCTAACACATTTTTTTTGAAAGGACTCAGTTCCTTCAACTAGGTCTTTATTTTTCCAGCTGTTAGAAACAATACTAGGGAAATCTGGATGTTAGAAAATATGCTTCAAAATTTTGGACTGGAGCTTGCTCTTCCATTGGATCTAGTTGTCAGTCGTGCTGTTGGTTGTGCATGGGCTGAGCAGTCCATTGTGTGAATACTGGATTGAAGAGCATTAGATCCTCCGGAGCAAAGAATGGAAATTTAGAGGTGGATTTTGAGGCTTCTGCTGGTTGGAGTTTCTTGGGATATTCCACATCTGTTGCATGTTGTTTACTAGGTTTTGGTTCATTGATGGAGCTAGTGGTTGGAGAATGTTGCTCATCCACATTTGGTTGATGTAGTTGTTCATAGCTAAGCTCATCCCCTCTGAGATTAACTGAGCTAGGAAATGTATGTTTTGGATAATCATTTTTGACTTGATTAGATATCCGTTTTACCTAATTTTTAGACCACGAATGTAAAGTACGAACATAAATTAAAAGAGATCGATTGAACTATGTGACCATATACTTTTAAAGATTAAGCTATTAGAGATGATATATTTTTATATAATCAATTATGTTCTTAACATACCTCTTCACGTGCATATCTAATTCTCTTTCATGGGTCAAGATGTGAAAATTCTTTTTAATAATAGATGTTGCAGAGACTTCAACCCGTGATCTTCACATGCTCTAATATTATATTGAATTGCGTGATCATCTTGGTAAAATACATTTATGACACATGACTATCATGATGGACGACATGTGTCGAGCATTTCCTAGTCAAACTGTCATGCCTCAAACCTGAGTGAGGCAGATTGGCACCCACTATCTTAACTTGACCGAGCAAACCAAATTGTCATATCATTTATAACAATCATATAAACATAGAGCATCTGTAAAGAGAAGATAATAACATGTTTCTGTAAGGAATTGTTTGTACATAACAAAAACTGAGGGTATGAATACCAAAGACTTGAAACATAAGTCGTTTGAAAACTAGGTAATAACATCTATACATATTTGAAAGCGTCAACATATGTCTATGAAGGCTTTAGGATAGTTTAAAATTGTATAAGTGTTGAGATAGGGCCCGACCTACCCAAAATATCTATATACATAATAAAATTATATACTTGACCCCAGGTAGTAAGCGGGGCTCACTAACTGTAGCTGAAGTGTAGCAACTGCCTAGCGGGGAGGTCCGCCAATAATTCAAATTAATATGAAAGACTTATTCAATAATACATGATTAACATGGTGTTTGTTCTAAAACAACCGTTTTTCTCCTAGAAGCTGTATAGAGAGACTGCGACACAAATTCTTCTTCTGTGTCATAATTCATATTCCAAATTTCTTTATTAGTTTTTGTCCTTTGTGGAGATACGTGTACTATGAATCTACATGATATTAATAATTTTTTCTTTTGAAATATGAAAATCTCAGGCATCACCTTCCTCAGTTCGTTCCTTCCCCCCATTCATTGTCATTCACTGCTTCATCCTTTTCCCATTTATTCTCTAATTAGTTTACATTTTCTCTCATCAGTCATTTATCTTTCTTCTTCAACCAATTTTACGTCGAAGAGAACACCATTAAAGACTTCACCCATCAGTTTCCCCGCGAACCCCGCCCTTCTTGCCTTTTCTTTCTTTCACATTCATAATAAACCCAATTCCAAAAATCCAATCTTTTTTTTTCTTTTTGTTTTTCTTTTGAATAGTAAAAGATCCAATCTTTTTTTCTTCTTCTTCTTTTTTCCTTTTGAAAAGTAAAAGATCCAATTTTTCTAGAAAGAGATATGTGAAGGAAGAAAAAGGAATCCCCCTTCCATTTACTATTGTCCAAATACGCTGTATTTATTTCCTTTTAAATGGATCTTTGCGTTTTCCGTTTCAGTTCCCAAAAGGGTTTTTGGTTTCTCAAACATAGCCTTTTGTATTCAGCTTCTCATATACTCATCGATCTGAATAGTTTATTCTAATATTTGAGTTCTCTTTAATCTTTTTTAATCTTTTTTTTTTGGAAAAGTTTAAGATGAGTGTAACCAAGTCCCAGGTTTGGCAACCTTGTAAAAAGAAGAGGATTTAGCTTAAGGCTTAATCCAGAAGCAAAAAAATAAAAGAAGATTTTTTTATAGGGAAGAAAAAAAACAAGAGGATGGGATTTGTATTGATTTAGGGTAGGGATTTAATAAGGTTTTAGGATCTGTAAGAAATAGAAAGTTTGGAGATAGATGGGTTCAAGATCAAATAATGGAAGTGGGAGGACTAGAGTGGGAAGGTATGATGTAGGGAGGACCCTTGGGGAGGGTACTTTTGCAAAGGTCAAATTTGCAAGGAATGTTGAAACTGGTGATAATGTTGCCATTAAGATTCTTGATAAAGAGAAGGTCATGAAGCACAAGATGATCGGTCAGGTATATGTTTCAAATTCTTGTTTGAGGCTAATATTGTATGGGAAAACTACGGTTGACCTTTTTTTTTTCTTCCTTGAATTTATCATGAATATATAATGGAAGAAAGATGATATACTAAAAAGTTGTGATATTTTATTTTATTCATGTTGGCCCAGCCTATGTAATTGTTTTTGTCTGAAATTCATGTTGATTAAGCCTTTCTTAGGGATTTCTAATCTTGATAACTTATTATTAATGGAGATTGCTGACTTGTTCATATTATATGATGTTTCTTTTGTGAAAAGGATTGCTCAAGAGTACATGAGTGATGTATATGAGTTCTGCAGCCATTGAATTCGAATTTTTGAGATGTCCAATTTAGATGATATCTTCTACTCCTACAAACCAAAAAGATCTTAGTTTATAGTAGCTTTAGTTATTTGTATAGGTGCACAACATTACAACTCGCAATTACCATGTTAATCTTTGTTGTTTCTGTAGATTAAAAAGTGCAATTGTAACATTTTATGTCCTTCGCAGATTAAACGGGAAATATCAACCATGAAACTTATAAGACACCCCAATGTTATCCGAATGTATGAGGTTAGTATTAGCTTTTTATCTCTAGCTTTTTCTTTCTCCTAGACCCCTCCGCCCCCCTCCCCAAGCAAAAGAAAATGAACAAGCAAAAACTGGAAGAAGAAAAAAAAGGAGGGATTGCAATTTCCTGGATTTTCCTCTTGCTGATCGCTAGTCTTTTGGGGCGATTGTTAGATAAGAATAACTGGAGCAGGTTTCTAAGTATTATTGCACTGTTTACCTGATGAATGATTCAAACTTCTGTCACGTAGGTCATGGCCAGCAAGTCGAAGATATATATTGTTTTGGAATTTGTTACTGGTGGCGAACTGTTTGACAAAATTGTAAGATGCTCTTTCTTGAGTCTCTTAACTGCTATTTTCATTCTTTCCATTTGCAACAGGAAATGTGTAAGCTTTTGCTGTTTTGTTGAGGTCAGGCTAGTAGAGGTAGGCTGAAAGAAGATGAAGCAAGAAAATACTTTCAGCAACTTATAAATGCAGTTGACTACTGTCATAGTAGAGGTGTATTCCACAGAGACCTCAAGGTAAGAATTATTGTTTTTCTACTAAGTGAAAAATAGGATGATAATGACTAAGTGGTTTATAATCTTTGCCTTTTCTGATTTATAGCCTGAAAACTTGTTGCTGGATGCAAATAGTGTTCTTAAAGTTTCGGATTTTGGACTGAGTGCGCTGCCTCAGCAAGTTCGCGTATGTCAACTTCTTGTCTCTTGCAAAGCCGCTCTTTACTCTGTCTGATTGATGAACAACTGCTATATAAGTTTGCTGACATTGACTGCGTTACTGAATCGAAATGTACCTAAGCTTCAGTTTGTTGATGTGTTTTTTTAGGAAGATGGACTACTACATACAACATGTGGAACACCAAATTATGTGGCTCCCGAGGTGCTCATTAGTTTGTCCCATAACTCATTTTATTTCTTATCCTCTGAGCAACAATTTTGATTCCTATGTTTGCTTCTTGCTAATGTAGGTGATCAACAATAAAGGTTATGATGGAGCTAAGGCTGACCTGTGGTCATGTGGTGTAATCCTTTTTGTACTTATGGCTGGTTATTTGCCTTTTGAGGAGTCAAATCTCATGGCACTATATAAGAAGGTGTGCTTATTTATTACTGGTCATTCCAAAATATAATCTGCATTATTTCCCTTGAAGGAGAATGTTGAGACGAGGAATTGATTTATTACAGATACATAAAGCTGAATTTACATGTCCACCCTGGTTTTCCTCTAGTGCGAAGAAACTAATCAAAAGAATCTTGGATCCCAATCCACAGACGGTATGTTTATCTCCCCCTTCCAATACAAAGGAGGAAATAAAGCAGAAAAATTACACACAACAGATGTGTTTAGTGGCTCTTTGTTTGCACTTGCATTTAGCTCCTCAAATTTTGTTTCATTCCCAAAATTTACTTGGAATTTTATGGAATTTATCATTTGATGACAGCGCATCACATTTTCCGAGGTCATTGAGAACGAGTGGTTCAAGAAAGGGTATCGTCCACCTGTTTTTGAGCAGGCAGATGTTAGTCTTGATGATGTGAATGCTATTTTTAGTGAATCTGCTGTAAGTATACTTGTTCCTGTGAAATAGGGCTGCAAGAATTTTGAATTTGTATGTTGATTCCTGTAGAATGAACATTTGATAGTCAATAAAATGAGTGGCTCATTTGCCTTTTCATGAACACAGGACTCTTCGAATCTTGTTGTGGAGAGACGGGATGAACGGCCTTCTGCACCACTGACTATGAATGCTTTTGAGCTTATTTCAACTTCTCAGGGTCTCAATCTCAGTTCTCTGTTTGAAAAGCAAATGGTATGTGTTGGTGAAGCTTATGATCTCGCACAAAACTTCTCAAGTGGCACAGCATGACGTGCTTATTGATAGACGTTCAAGTGAAGTAGTGCTTGGTCACATACTCACATTTTAAATTGGAACCACATAAATTTTTCAAATTTTCACTTTCACTTTAAAAATATGCGAACAATATTGAGCGTTACAAAAATTAGTAGTTTAAGGATATGGTGAGTATGAATATTTGTTCGCCATTGCGATCTTCCAAGTTGAAACCTATCAGTTCTGTTTAAACCCAAATGTTGCATAGATATAATTTTCTTGCTTTGTATTAAAATGCAAAATACATGTTAGTTTCCTGGTGTACAATAAAACCAACCCCTTTGAAGCCCAAAACGAGGAAATAAACAAACTAAATATGTGGCATATAGAACTTTCAATGCTTAGCTTTTCAGATTGATCTGGTCCCAGAAGTTTTAAGCATGTGGATTAAGCTAGGCTACTTTTACAGGGGCTAGTCAAAAGGGAGACAAGATTTACATCGAGATGTCCTGCGAATGAAATTGTCTCAAAAATTGAAGAAGCTGCTGTACCTTTGGGCTTCAATGTGAGGAAAAATAACTACAAGGTGAATCAGAAAAGTTATTCTTGTGCTTGATACTTCTTTTTCTTCTATTGTCAATCTTATAAAAGCGATGCGAGTACAACTAATGATGCTCAGAGTCGTTAATAGGTTTTCAAGCATCTCAAATCCTCATCTCATTTTTGTAATTGTTCACTACATAACTGTTAAGTTTCTTCAATCAAGTATATTTATTAAACATATGAGCAAGTTGTGTCAAATTCTTTTGAATCTCAAAGTCCTAATATTTAGTTCTTCGCTATGATTAAAATTTCATTCATGTTATTCTTTCTCTTTTTTTTTTTGTGCCAGATTAAGCTTCATGGGGAGAAGAGTGGGCGCAAAGGTCATTTATCCGTTGCAACCGAGGTATGTTTGTTTTGGAGGACCTTCAGGCCAGCTATGTTTTTCATTGTCGTTCAGACTTTGTAAGACAACTTCCCAACTTTGAGTTTGCTGTAGATTTACGAGGTGGCACCTTCACTATACATGGTTGAGCTTCGCAAGGCTGGAGGAGATACCTTGGAATTTCACAAGGTAAACTTAATTGGAAGTGTTTGCTGTGTTTATTTCATTGACAGGGGATATACATAGAAACTGCCTTTAATCTTCTGTGATTTGCTCACTGAGCTAAAGACAAACCTGCTAGTTGAATGAAGCGAAGCAGATAGCTGGCCCTGCTTATTTGTGGATCTTGCTTAATCCCGCTCAAGTACTTTATAATTGCTTCTTCGCTATACATAGAAGACTTTATATGATATTTGATAGTTGGTCTTACAAGGCATTTTTAAATCTATTACTAATGTTTATAGGGGTTACGCTGTATTTTTGCACTTGGACCATATATCTATATCAGGCTTTCTGTGGTCTGTCCATGCATGTGTTTTAATGCACATAAACTGATAAAGGTTATTTTGTTATTTTCTTTTTGATACAGTTTTACAAGAACCTGTCTACCGGATTGAAAGACATTGTGTGGCAACTGGGGGAAGGAGGAGAGGAAGTAAAAGATGGTTAGTATGGTATGATGACTGCACTGACTTATTACCTACTCTAGAGCTTCTGCCTTTTTGAAAAAATTAATTTAAAATTTTCATCGAGCTATTGAACTGCTGTGTTGGTTTTACTTGTATATGATGGTGCAAATCCCAAGTTCTGATATTCTTTGAATCGGTGGGAACAATTAGATGTAGGATCATGTTATGTGCCAATGCCGGAATCATATGAAGGGGGGTGGGGGTCTTTTTCCCGGGGAGAGGGGAAGGGGAGGGAGGGTTGGCTAACAAGAGAGCCTTTATCTCAGTAGACGTGTGACATCTTTCAGCATAGAAATGAGTGTCGTCTGATTATATTTCTTTACTTGTCTGTGCATGGAAGCTGTAGTGATATTATCTCAACAAAGTATCAGGACTTGGCCCTCCACACAACTCAATCTCTTCTCTTTCTTTTATGGAAACAGATGAAAAGTGAAAAACAATTAAAGAAAGCTTCATCACAAAGTAACTAATTTTGAGTTGTTATGCACAAGCATCAAATTTATATTTCTTTCTCCTTTCAATGTGTGCAGGTCTCGTCGCAACTTGATTTTGGGTTGCCAATGTGAATAAGCTCTGCAAACAGTGTGCTAGATATTAGATAATGCTGTGCTGTAAAAAGCGCTTTTATCATCAGTTGATGTCAAACAGAGTGTTTTAAGCATCGACGAGTTTATAATACATTGTTTTATGTACGATTAAGGCACGTAAACTTAGAAAAATTAAGACTGGTTTTACATTGCCATTGTTGTCTTATTTGGTGACAAGATATTACGGATCTCCAAATATGTGCTTTTATTGAACTGGAAGTGGTAACAAAGTGTGTTATATAACATGTTGCTGGATCCAATTTCTGGGGTTGTTACTTAATTTTTAATATTTTACTAGTTAACTTGCCCCAATTAAAAAATCAGTACATCGTTTCTATACATAGTGTAACCTTTTTTTTTTCTGGCTATACACTGTACAGAGGTTAACTGTAACTCTTTACATTGCAATTTGTGTGACATTTATGTCTTGGGAACATAAGGTGGACAGTTTATTTTCTACATCTTTTAAGAATTTAAATACTAAATTAAACTATTCAAATTTTTGACTTGGATGCAATATTTTAACAACTTTCTGATAATATTTAATATTTTCGTCTCCATTAAAAATATAACACATAAGTCAACATAGTAAACTCTTTGTCTAGTTGCACACATTTACATACATTTTGAAGCTAGCAAAAGAATCTATATATATATATATATATATATATATATATAAAGTTGGGAATAAAAAAGATGTTGTGGTACATCTCATAAGCCACAAAAGTACCATGTCTTTTTTCTCCTTTTTTTTTTTTGGCTTTTTTCTCTCATTTGATGTCTACAAAATTTGGAGAAAATTTAACACATCCTATTTATGTCATTCCTTATTATCATTATTATCATTTATTTCTTTTAGACCCATGTTTCCTCCTTTATCAAGTCCTTTTCCCACTCCCTTTTTCGCTTCTTTTTCTTCTTCTTTGTTTTTTTAATCTTTCCGTTACATGTTTAGGTCTCCTTAATGACTTTTAGTATTCAATCATATTTCTAATTATACAATTGTTACAATTCTTAATTTCTGTATTCAATTGTGTATTGGATGATATAATAAAGAAGAATAGCAATAAAAGGACGAGAGAAACAGAAATGGAGAGAGCACCTTACTATAAGTCTAATATGCAACATGGTTGTGTGAGAATTGTTTATGCTACATCTAGCATTGCCAAACATTGCCAAGAAGCAAGGTTAAGGACAAGTGCATATACTGCATCCCAAAACTCCCAACTGTAGAAGTTAGGTGACACTAAATTAGCATGCAATCAAATGTAGATTTCTCATGAGGTTACAGAGGTTTTTCATTCCATATTTTTTAAATTGTATTTTATTTTGTTAATTTGGACAAATTAACGAGTGCATTCAGATTTGAAGGATATAAAGGAGGAGGGGTTTTGACAAAATAAGGATTTTAACGGAAAAAAAAGTGACAGTGCGGCCATAAAGGAGGCAAAGGTGATGACAACAAAGGCAGAACTGTAGAGATGCGCCAATCGATCTTTTCTGTTATGTGCTTTCTCTCTATGATTTTTTTTTTTTTTTTTTTTTTTTTTTTTTGCGAAAGAGAAGGATTGTATCTTTTTATTTTTATTTTTAATTTTGTAACCTATTTTCCGTTTCAAACTGGTTACCAACGGTTGGCATCCTTTAAATTTTGAGCCAAAGCCTTGTATATGAATGTGGATTTCGATTAATGAGCAGAGATTCTTACTTTCTCTTTTCTTTTCTTTTCTTTCACAAAATTAATGATTGATTTTGTGACACTCCATACTTTGCTATTTTTTAAATATGCCGTGTATGTTTTATTTTGATCTCATTTTTACCCAGCAGATCAGTCGGTTACGAATACTTTGAGATACTTTTATCACATTTTGCTTCCTAATACTAACTTCTTTGCGATTACTCTATTATGGTCACCTTCCTTATTTTATTTTATTTTGTTATAATTTTTCTGGTCCATTTATTCTTCTGGATTGTAGTTGAGGACATTCTGAGTAATAGCATATTTTTGCTTCAACAAAATTTCAAGAATATCTCATCATTTTTGAAATTTTATAGATGTTTTTCAAGGCCGCGCGAAGCGCGAATTATTTCACTAGTTATTACTATAAAATTGGAGAAGTAGAATCACAGAATTTGCTTTGCTTCTCGTTTCGCTTGCACTTATCTATCTTACTGTTGTAATGAAAGATCTATTACTTGGTGAGAGAAAAAACCTAGCTAACCTTATCGATTAATTTGTCTAATTGCAAGGATTTCTTGCTTATCCATCCATAAAAAACGGTTATGAATAAGATCAAAAGGTTGTCATTACACAAGGATTTCTATTTGCTTATCCATTCTATCATGAACGATTATGAATGGGCTTAAAATACTACTTCCTCCGTGCACCTATTTCCTTTTTGGTCCGTTCCCAAAAAAAATGATCACTTTCTAAATTTAAAAATAATTTAGTTTAAACTTCCAATTCTCCCATTAATGAGAAGTTTTTATAACTACACAAATACTCTGAACCTCTTTTTGACTTGTTTAGGACCATAAATTCAAAAAGTTTCATTTTTCTTAAACTCCGTGCTCAGTCAAACAAGTTCACATAAATTAGAACAGTGGGAGTAGTAATAATTAGATTAGAAGGTCATCATTACACAAGAATTTGTCTTGCTTATCCATTCATTTTTGTTACTATTGAACTTAAAATATGATGTAAATTCAGGATTTTATTTCTTTAGGTTCAGGATCGAACACATCACCTTATTTAAGTTATGAGGTCATATTAATATTTCAGTAAGTTAGTTTTACACAAATAAATTCAAGTCTAAATTAAAAATTATGCGTTCATATATTACCAGATCCGCTATAAAGATCAAAAGGTCATCACTAGAGTCTAGAGCAAACAATGCAATTGGTAGTGCAGCCATTTTCCACCCGACTGGATACTATTGCACGTGGGAAAATGCTATTCACAGGCTATCCATTTTTTTTTTAAATAATAAAACTCACTCCGTTGTTTGACTGGGCACATAGTTTAAGAAAAAATAAATACTTTTGAAATTTGTGGTCCTAAACAAGTCAAAAAGAGACCCAGAGTATTTGAGTGGTTATAAAAACTTATCATTAAAAGTAGAATTGTAAATTTAAGCTAAATTATTTCCAAATTTAAAAAAGGATCATTCTTTTTGGAACGGATCAAAAAGTAAATAAGTTTGACGGAACTGGAACGTAGAGAGTACTTACTCTGTTTTCCTCCAATCAATTAAAGTAGTCACTGTTTAAAATTGCAATTTTAAGACACTTCTCCATTACCAGACAGGATAAGTTACTTGTCGAAGAACCTTGGTCTGTAATTTACAATATGCTATCCAAATCTACAATCAGCCAATAAATTCAAAGCAAACTGCCAGGTGGCCTTATAAAAATCATCAAAGGAAAGAAGGAATCCATTTCATAAGAATCAATCTAACTAGAACTGGCCATTGTTGAAATTCCCTTACGAAACATGTCATCTTTTCATTCTTCTCTATGCTTCTCTGTTCAGAAATTACCATCACCATCACCATCACCATCAGAGCAACAAATGAGTCTTTTATCAACAAAACCAAAATCCATTCTCCAAAAAAACCCACTCTATCAACCAACTCACAAGAACATTTCTTTGCAATTCAAGGAGAAAATCTTGTGCTTGGAAATCATGGGTGTTGATTCAGGAAAAGCACTCTCTCAAAACCCTTGTCTCCACACAGCTTCTTTACACACTATTCATTCCATCATCACTTTCCTTCAGTCCAAAGGCCTTCACCAAAAGGACTTTGCAAGAATCTTTGGAATGTGCCCAAGAATCTTGACATCAGATATAAGATGTGAACTCAATCCAGTTTTCAACTTCCTCTCAAAAGACCTAAGAGTCCCTGAAAGTAACTTCAGAAGGGTCATTAACAAATGTCCAAGATTACTAATTTGCAGTGTGGAAGACCAGCTAAAACCAGCTTTGTTTTATCTTCAAAGACTTGGGTTCAGAGATTTGCATCATTTAGCTTATCAGGATCCAATATTGCTGGTTTCCAGTGTGGAAAATACGTTAATACCCAAGCTGGAGTATTTGGCAAGTCTAGGATTTTCAAGAAATGAAGCAGTGGAAATGACTTTGAGGTGTCCAGGGCTCTTCACTTTCAGCATTGACAACAATTTCAAGCCTAAATTTGAATACTTTTCTCAAGAAATGGGAGGTGAATTGGATGAATTGATGGAGTTTCCTCAGTATTTTGCTTTTAGTTTGGAGAAGAGGATAAAGCCAAGGCACATTGAACTTGTACAGAGTGGAGTTTCAATTCCCTTGCCTTTGATGCTCAAGACTACTGATGAAGAGTTCAAGGAGATGATAAGGCAACAAACTGGATAAAGTAATCTCATCTCTGGATATTATTAATTCTCATCTCTCTGTAAATCCTTAATTTGCTAACATATTTTCTCAAACACCACTGTTTAATGTAATGTAAATTTGGCTAATAATATGTGACTAGAGGATCATTTTCTGATATATTGATTTGGCTTTTCTTCAGAAATAATGTTCGTACAGAGAGTCAAAACAACTTTTTTCTTTGAACTCAAATTTTATAATACTAACTGTTATAGCAGTTCAGGTGTGATTTATATCACTTGGAACTCAAACTTTATTTTTACTCTCTAAATGTAAAATTCTTTATCAGTGAAACATCGTCCAAGTTCTTTATTCTAAGTTTTTTCTCCTTTTATTGTTTATTTCTTCTTTAAAAGGTCAATCAGTTTGGATACAAAGTAAAGAACATTATTCCAAAGATTAATGACTTAACGTCAAAAGGAAATGGGAAAACAAGATGACTCATCGTACGCAAAAATACAGTGTATTTCTTTCTGTTAATCTATTTCTTTAAGTTGTTTTAGCTTTTTCTGTTAATCTGTTTGGTAGAAAGCAGAGTAAAAAAATCGCGTTCTGATGTTTTTTGGATAATGATCAACCTATATGTTAATCTTAACCCAAAAGCTATTGGTTCACACACACACACACAATTATATTGTTAAAGAGAGCAGAAAATTCTATTCAGTCATCCCCTTTAACACACCCTATACAACACAAGTGCTATGCGAACAAATTGGCATTCGTTGATCATTTTTCATCAGTACAAACTTCCTTGTTTCTTTTATCTCACATGCGGGTAAAGGGCATAGATAATAAAACTGTTTCTCAGTGACGGAAGAAGATATCTGCAGAAAGGAATGCTGCCCAAGTATCCTACAAAAGAGA